CACAACAGAGGGTTCTGGACAGAGCTGGAGAAGGATGTAGAACAAAATTCTAACACAAAAAAAAAGACCAGATTTACTGACCTGACAGAGACTGGAGAAACCCTGGGAGTATGGCCCCCAGACACCCTTTTAGCTCAGTGGTGAAGTCACTCCTGAGGTTCACCGTTCAGCCGGGGATTGGATAGTCCCAAAAAACAAAACGGGACTAATGAGGCACAGCAGTCCAGGAACAGGGACTAGAAGGCAGAAAGGGACAGGAAAGCTGGTGCTAGGGAACCCAAGGTTGAGTAAGGTCAGTGTTGACATGTAGTGGGGTTCTTAACCATTGTCATAGGGCAATATGTGTACTAACTGTTTAATAACAAACTATTTTGTTCTGTAAACCTTCATTTAAAGTGAGAATAGCAACACAACTGGAAGAACGTAATTGATGTAACTGAAGTGTACATGTAGAAATTTTTGAAATGGTGTATCTTTGGCTATGGATATTTTCACCAAAAAAAAAAAAAAAAGAAAAAGGTCCTCCAAGGCCAAGAAGGGAGTGTGTTGACAGGTCACAGGGTTGTTAACCAATGTCATAAAACAATGTGTATACTGACTGTTAAATGAGAAAATATTTGTTCTGTAAACTTTCACCTAAAGTACAATTAAAAAAAAGGGCACTTTTGTTATGTAGGCTGTGAGACAGCATCTTTTTACACTTAAGAGATTCTGAAGCCAAGCAGGTGGTCCAAGTCCTTTTCCATTTCTCATTAACAGGGTTTGATATTACCAAACCAGATGTGATCATCAAGTTGGAGCAGGGAGAAGAGCCATGGATAGTAGAAGATGAATTCCCATGTCAGATTTGTCCAGGTGAGTTAGCAGAACAACAAGTTTTTTTTAATGGTCATCTCAGACCTTTGGGAGTGACTAAAGACAATTAGATGCCTTGGGTACCCTAAATCACACCTCCAAATATCCAAATATCACTTTCCTCAAACACCCATACAGAAGCTGCCTTTTTCGTTTCATTTACATTTGCCAGGATTTTCCGTGGTTAACAGTAGTGAGAATTCAATCACTTCCTCTTTCTCTAGCATTGTAATAACTTACTTACCCCTGTTATCACAGCCTTCTTTTGTTTTTAGACACTAAAAAATCTGCCATAAACTTTAGCTTCAGATTTTATATTCATTCTTTTTATCTTGCATTTTCTTTCCTTCCTTGCTGTGAAACCCTTCGGTTGTTTTCTGCCCCCAATTTTATTCCCTTCTCTGTGCAATCAGATACTAAAACCTCAGCCTCTGCCAACGTTCATATATTTAATCACAGCCTTGTTGTAGTGTGCCCTTGCTAATCATTATTCCTAAAATCTATCCTTAATTGATTTGGTGATAGAACACTAACTGAGCCTCTTCTCTGTCCCCGAGTACTCATTTATATCCTGGGGAAATAGAGGTGGGATGAAGATCTGTATGTAGTGGATGTTCAGTAAGTGTTTATTTCATGAATAGATTTTGGTTCATTTTCTTGCTTTCCTCAGGAGTGTCCCTAAAGGACCTGTTTTCTATTTTTTGGCTTTCTTTGTATATGGTTGCTTGAAAGGGTTCATCTAGTCTCAAATTTTAAGGCTTTTTTGTTTATATTTTTGCTTGTGACATTGAAATTGGTATCTTAGAACCTGTAACTTGTTGTCTAGTTGAATATTTCACCTGATGAAATGACAAAACCAGAGGGATAGTCCACTTTCTTCTTTCTCAGAATATCTGATGATAAACTATGAACTTCCCCAAATTGTGAATTCTACACATCTTCTCCACCTCTCTTTATTAGATTGTACTGTCCTCTCCATGTTTGCTGTTTTTGTTTTTTGTGAAATACTTTATTTTCTGTATATTCTTTTCTAGTATTAAGGTAAATAATGTTCTCTCATGCCTGGATTACAATGAATCCTATTTGGAAATTGTAAAATATGTTCATCTAAAGCATCCAAATGATCTTATCACTAGCCTGACAAGATAAGCCTGTAGCTGTTCTCTGTTACTTCTCAAATGGAATTTAAATTCTTCTCAAGTCCCACACAGTATGTTGCCATTTTAAATAATTTGTATACCCCCAAAATATGTGTTGTAGTCCTGATCCCTCTATCTGTAGATGTAATCACATTTGGGAATAGGGTTTTTTTTTCGTTATGTTAATGAGGTCCTATCAGTGTAGGGTGTGTCCTAAACCTGATCACTGCTGGATTATAAAGAGTAGCATAGGCACAATGACAAAGCAAATACAAGTTGGGGAAAGATAGATGCCACATGGCGATTGCCAAGGAACCAAGAAACACCAGGGCTGGAGAAGCTGAGACAAGAATTTTCCCCCAGAGTTGACAGAGAGAGCCTTCCCCTAGAGCCAGTGCCTTGAATTTCTACCCTCCTAAAATGTAAGAAAATAAACTCTGTTTGTTAAAGCCACCCCTTGTGCTATTTCTGTTACAGCAGCACTAGGAATCTAACACATCTGCCTGTTAAAATTAATTTCCTTCTGTTTCTCCATCTTGTCTAGATTTATAAATGTCTTCCATTCAGATGATTATTGTTCTGTTCTTTCCTGTGTGCTTTACTTACCCAGATAATACATACTTTGTAAATTTGAGTTTAAAAGTCCCAACTCCTCCACGAAGTTTCATTCACAACTCTTTTACCACTCTAATCTTCCCCTTAATATCCTTTCCACTTAGTGATTATTACCACAGAAAAACTAGATATGTTTATATGCTCATTTGTAGTGGTATTATCTGTTGTTTGAACTTCTTTTTGTACCTGAAATACAATCCTCCAAAAAGAAGCACCATATTACTGTTCTTTTCTGTGGTATATAACATGTAGTAGGCATTCAGTAAGTTTTTCATTGACTAACTGAAGAGCTAGGCAAATGAAAGACCTTTATTATCCATAGATTCTGATAAAATAGATAAGGATTAAAGTGGGACCTGAAAACACTCCATTTGATTAAGATAAAGAACTACTACTTTAATTTCTGTTTGGAGAGATTCAAAGAAGATAGAAACATAGTTACATTTTCCAGGAGCATAGGTTTTGGTTAGGAAAGGAGAGCACAGCTGCATGAATTAGTTTTAAAATTTGCCTTGACATGGGATGTTTATATTTCAGTGCATGTTAGACAACTTTATGTTAGAGCTGTTTTAAAATTTAAGGGAAAGATAGCCTCAAAGAGCTGGGAAAAGATTTGATAAATATTTTAAAGCTCCACCCAAAATCTAGATAGGTTTTGAGTGTAGCTAAGGGTGAAAGTCAATATTGAATGAAAAAACATGAGCACAGACTTGTGGTTGGCGATGAGCAAGGCATTTATAGGCTATCAATAGCCTAGCCTTCCCAGAGCAGAAGATACTTTTGGAAGATTAGTGCAAGGCTAGCTTGAATACATTACGAATCCCGATGATGAAAAATGTTCGTGAATGATAAGACTATGAGAACAAGAGATTGGGTCTTTTTGTAAGGATACCTTGTCCTCTGTTCTATCTTACTTACATTTCCTTTGGACTTTCATATACTTGAATCTCTCCTTCCAGGTGAATGGGAATCAGGGCTAGAGAGTTGGAGCCCTGGTTACACTATTTCTCTAAACATGGAAGTTGGAGCTTTCAGAATGTTTATTTGGATTTATGTGCAGAGTGGAAAGGAAGTAAAGGTTTTGAAAGGTTCTAAACTACTGATAATGTTACTATAGTAATCTTGGTATACGGTGATATCTTGCAAGTTAATATAGATTGTAATCTAGTTCTCCTAGACTTCATTCATACTTGAATATTTCCATAGAACATCCATCCAGTAACTGTCGTTGTTCACCCACTGACCACATTTACTATGAGTCCTCCCATTTCTGCCTGGATCTAGCACTTTTTCGGTGACTTTGTTCTCTGCTCATTTCATGGATTTATTTTACCTTTTCTACCAAAGTTTTTAATATAGTATTTGTAAAGTGACAAAGGTACTTGTGTCCATTATGAATTTGCTCTCCCTTTTCCACTACTGCTGAGTTCTAGCCCACACTAATCCCTTTCCCCCATCTGTGTGTGTGTGTTTTGTATTACGAATCAAGGGAAAAAGAGGAATGTATACTTGTGATTATATTTACTTGAGATTGGCCCTAAAGCCGGAGTCAGCCCTACAAATAGGGCATATGAGTACTACTCCCATTCCATAGTTTTATGTGTTCAGATTCACAAGGTTTAATTTTATTCCTTTTTTAGAAGAAGCCTGGAAGGTTGGCGACCTGATAGAAAGAATCCAAGGAAATGAAGACAAATATTCAAGGCAAACAGTATCCATCAACAGTAGATCCTTGATTGAACAGAGAGAGAATATATGTGATAAAATTTATAACGTGGAAACAAATCTTGTTCCTTCAAGCATAGTATCTCTTAATTGTGTTTCATGTGGGAAAAGTTTAAAATCTATTTCAGAATTAATTATTAGTGATGGAAGCTATGCAAGAAAGAAACCTGATGAGTGTAGTGAATGTGGGAAAACACATCACGGAGAGAAACCCTATGAATTTGATCAAAATGGGGAAGCCTATTCTCAAAATGAAAATATTCTTCAGAAAATTAATATTTTGGAGAAACCTTTTGAATATAATGAATGCATGGAAGCCTTAAAAAATGAAGCAGTTTTCATTACTCATAAGAGCACTTACATGAGGGAGAAGCCCTATGATTGGAATGATTCTGGACCAGACTTCATTCAGATGTCAAATTTCAATGTATATCAGAGATCAAGAATGGAAATAAAGCCCTATGAATGCAGTGAATGTGGAAAATCCTTCTGTAAAAAGTCAAAATTCATTATACATCAGAGAGCTCACACAGGGGAGAAACCTTATGCATGTAATGTATGTGGGAAATCCTTCAGCCAAAAAGGAACCCTTACTGTACATAGGAGATCACACTTAGAGGAGAAGCCCTATAAATGTAATGAATGTGGGAAAACTTTCTGTCAGAAGTTACACCTCACTCAACATCAGAGAACTCATTCAGGAGAGAAACCCTATGAATGTAATGAATGTGGGAAGACCTTTTGCCAAAAGACACATCTGACTCTGCACCAGAGAAATCATTCAGGAGAGAGACCCTATCCATGTAATGAGTGTGGGAAATCCTTCTCCCGGAAATCAGCCCTCAGTGATCATCAGAGAACACACACAGGAGAGAAACTTTATAAATGTAATGAATGTGGAAAATCCTACTACCGAAAATCTACCCTTATTACACATCAGAGGACACACACAGGAGAGAAGCCCTATCAGTGTAGTGAATGTGGAAAATTTTTTTCTCGGGTATCATACCTAACTATACATTATAGAAGTCATTTAGAAGAGAAACCCTATGAATGTAATGAATGTGGTAAAACCTTCAATTTAAATTCAGCTTTTATCAGACATCGGAAAGTACATGCAGAAGAGAAACTCCACGAATGTAATGAATGTGGAAAGTTGGCCCAGTTCTCAAATCTCACTAATCATACAACTCATTTAGGAGAGAACCCCTATGAATGTAATGAATGTGGGAAAATCTTCCTTGAAAATTCATCCTTTGATGGACATCACTTGCTTCCAAAAGGAGAGAAATCCTATGCATGTAATATATGTGGAAAATTATTCTCTGATTTGTCCTACTACACTGAACATTATAGAAGTCATTCAGAAGAAAAACCCTATGGTTGTAACGAATGTGGGAAAACCTTCTCCCATAATTCATCCCTCTTTAGACATCAAAGAGTACACACAGGAGAGAAACCTTATGAGTGTTACGAGTGTGGAAAATTTTTCTCTCAAAAGTCATATCTCACTATACATCATCGAATTCATTCAGGAGAAAAACCTTATGAATGTAGTAAGTGTGGGAAGGTTTTCTCTCGAATGTCAAACCTTACTGTACACTATAGAAGCCATTCAGGAGAGAAACCCTATGAATGCAATGAATGTGGAAAAGTCTTTTCTCAGAAATCATACCTCACTGTACACTATAGAACTCATTCAGGAGAAAAACCCTATGAATGTAGTGAATGTGGGAAAAAATTCCACCACAGGTCAGCCTTCAATAGCCATCAGAGAATCCATAGAAGAGGGAATAGGAATGTACTTGATGTAGAAAATTTCCTCTGAAGTCCAATCTCATGTCAGAAAACCCTCAATATAATGACTGTGAGAAATCTAATAGATGTCATTGTTAATCTGAGATTTCTTACAGGCAAGAGAAGCCTATTTCTTGGATGGGGAAAAGCATTTAGGCATTATATTTATTTTAATCTGAATTTTTACAGAGAAGAATCCCTGAGAATGCCACAATAAGAACTTTCAGCAAGTCCATAACACTCATTGTACACTAGATAGTTTATACAGGAATTAAATTTTATAAATTTTTATTTTAGATTCTGATTGTACTACACATCAGGGAATTATGTCAAGACAAAATCTGTGATGAATGTGTAAAAATATATTGGAGATTACTAAAAGCCATATTTCACATGTAAAATCAAATGGTTATAGGAAAAGTACCAGAAAATATCAACTGTGAGTAAACATTATATAAAACGTTTTTAAATCATCAGGAGTTTATAATGAGGACAGTAGCATTAAATGCATATCTGGCAGTTCCTATCATTTTTCAAATGCAATCTAACAATTCTATGCAAGTTTGGATTTGAATAATTTGTGAAAAGGCAGTATCTTATTTGAATGTCAGGATGGCATAATACGTAATTTTCTACTCTTTAGAGGCGTTTACAAACGGGTTTAATGAATGCCTCATCAATAAAGAAGCCAGTAATTTTTGTAGTTTTCAACTGCATCCGAGCAAAAACATTAAGTACTATTTTAATGAACTGCATTGATAATTTGGAATTGTTAGGTATGTCTGAATAAGAGAGAACAACTATACTATTCATACTCCAATAAAAATAAATGCCCTATATAAAATATTCCTCACATACTGCTCATTTTTTAATCTGTAAATTTGTGCAGAGTGCCAATATTATGTAATTCAGAAATTGTATTTATATTTTTATTTGATATGATAGATTGTCATTTACATTGGGCACTGCATCTTATTTCTAGTATTTTGGAACAAATTAAAACAACTTTATAGCAGACATCATTGGTTGATTATTCTTTCTCATTCCTTTCTGGAAGAATTTGGGTGTCTACCATTTCCTGAGGAGTCCCTGGGAGAGCAAATGGTTAAGTGCTCAGCTACTAGCTGGAATGTTGGTGATTCAAACTTACCCATACGCGCCTCAGAAGACAAGGTTGGCAATCTCCTTTTGAAAGGTCACAGCCTTGAAAACCCCAAGGAGCAGTTCTAGTCTGCATACATGCAGTCACTATGAGTCAGAGGTGACTGGAAGATGACAACAGCAATGGTTAATGGTGATAAACATCTTTTCATGTGCTGCTTGTCTATTTGAATATCTTTAATGAGCTGTCCAAGTCCTTTGCCCATTTTTTTATTTTTTATTTTATTTTTTTTGTTATTGTTAAGGTATAGAAATTTGTTACGTGTTTTGGATATTAGGCCCTATCTGTTACATGGTTCTAAAAAGTTTTCCCAATCTGTAGGTCATCTTTTCACTTTGTTAATAAAGTCCTTTGGTGAACAAAAGTATTTAATTTTTATGAAGTTCCATTTATCTATTTTATTCTTTCGCTACTGGAATTTTTGTTGTCATATCTGATAATCTGTCGAACACTAGGTCCCACAGCCTAGACCCTACACTTTCTTTTAAGGGTTTAGGGTTTTACTTTCACATTTAGGTTCTAGATTATAGTGGAATCTAGATTCAAACCCAGGCCTCTGATTCCAGACCCTAAATCCTTAGCCATCACAGTATTTTGCTTTGCTGCTTGTTGTATAATGGTTTGTGTATCCTTTCACCTACTTATTCAGTCTGTATGCTGAGCAAGTAATCTGAGAAACTGTATGAAGAAGGACGTGGCATTAGGATTGGAGGAAGACTCACTAACAACCTGCAATATGCAGATGACAACCTTGCTTCCTGAAAACAAACAGGACTTGAAGCACTGATGATCAAAGGCTGCAGTATGAATTACTGTATAAAGAAAAATCCTCACAACTGGGCCAATAAACAACATCATGATAAATGGGGAAAATATTGAATTTGTTGAGGTCCTTATTTTAGTTGGATCCACAGTCAACACCTGTGGAAATAACATTCAAGAAATCAAACAACATATGGCATTGGACAGATCTGTGTTAAAAAACAAAAACAAAAAGCAAAGATGTCACTTCGAGGACTAAGGTTTACCTGACTCAAGCCATGGTATTTTCAGTCACCTCATAATGCGTGTAAAAGCTGGACAGTGAATAAGGAAGACTGAAGAAGAATTGACACCTTTGAATTACATTGTTGGGAAGAATACTGAATATGCTATGGATTGCAAAAGAGTGAACAATCTGTCTTGGGAAAGTACAGCCAGAATGCTCCTTAGAAGTGAGGATGGCGAGACTTTGTCTCACTTAATTTGGACATGTTATCAGGAGGGACCAGTGCCTGGACATCATGCTTGGTAAAGTACAGGGTCATGGGAAGAGATTTAGACCCTCAGTGAGATGGACTGACACAGTGGCTGCAACAATGGACTCAAAAATAGTAATGATTATGAGGATGGTGCAGGATTGGGCAGTGTTTTGTTCTGTTGTACATAGGGTTACTATGAGTCGGAACTGACTTGATGGCACCTGACAACATTATGGCTTGCTTTTTTTCAATTAACTGTATATCTGAGATACTCTGTATTTCTATCTTCATTGATTTTCACACACAGTATTTCATAGTGCCATTGTTTCTGGGTTTTCTTATATAAATAGGTATATAATTTTCAGTAGCTCCATTCTGCAGCATTTATTACAGTGTTGCACTCAGAAACTGCCTGTACTAAGATGTCCCTAGAAGACCACCACTTCACAGAAATCCACATGTCTATCCTGACACCTGTTTGTGTGTTCAGGTCTTCCCCATTCACAGCTTGACCAGGCAGTCAGTCCATTCCTACCTGCAGTAAACTGGAAGAGTTAGATGGAACAGAAAGGGCACTGGAGACAGAGCAGCAACAGTCCCCCAAAATCTGGGGTCAGGTGGACTGAGGACATAGTTTAAGGGTCAGATCCTGGAGCCAGACTGCTTGGGTCCAAAGGAGCACCCAGAACCTTTAGATCTTGAAGAGCTCAGGTTTCTGGAGAAGGTAGTCATTTTAATGTACCTGAATGGTACTCTTGGGTTAGTGTCCCTACATCGCTGCCTCTTAAGTCTTAAAGCCCAGAGAAGGGAGAACGGCGACACACGGAGGGATGCCTGTAGGAGTGAAGGCCCCAGCCAGACTGTGCTGGACCCTGGTTCGGGGTAAGGGTCTGAGGGCTCGGGTGCGGGGTAGCATAAGTGTGGCCAAGGTGTTGGCTGAAACCAGAAGGCGTGGTCTACTGCGAAGGAGGCTGGGCTTTGACGCTAGGACCAAGGTCAGAGGAGCAAGACCACGTTGGGTCTCCAGGGTCATGTTCAACAAATAGCGTGGCTGTGACTGTGGAGGCGTGGACAGTGGGATGGAGACCTGATTGCGTTGTAAGGACGTGGTTAAAAATGAATAGAATTGTGCCTCTGGCTCGGGGTGTGGTCTGCTGGTGGGCCAGTGGGATGGAGACCTGGCTAAAGGATGGGGGCGTGGCCATCGAAGTGAGGGTTTGTCAGAGCAGTGGGCGGGGCCGTGGTTCGGACTCGAGGGTTACGGTCGGCAGGTAGGGGCGTGGCTTGGGCTGGAGAAGGGCATCGGTTTGGATTTAACAGTTTTTGAGGAGCGGGAAACCGGCGACCAGGCTTTGGGCTGACACGAAGGGGGCCCGGAAGACGGATGGGGCGGAGGGAAGGCTGAGACCTGAGCGTGAGGAATGGGTGGTGCATGGTACAAAAACTGGGCGGAGTAGAAAGGGGAGTGTAAGGGCGGTGCACGTGGCGTCGGGAGTTGCTAGGACCGGCTGGAGTCTGGGAAAGGGGTGGGATTTCGGCTGTGGGCGGGGCTCAGGAAGACGGGCCAAGTAGAGGTGATCATCTGACCACCCAGCCCTTGCTTGCCAGTTGCCCTGCCCGCCTGGCCATGTGGCTCTCGCTGGTCCTGCTGTTGCTGCTGCTCCCTGCCACCCTTGTCCCCACCGCCACTGCCGCTCCCTGCCCAGATGCTCAGGAAATCCAGAGCCTACTCCAAGGTTTCAACCGCCCCCCTGCTAGGGTGGGGGCGGGGGGGAATAAAGAGGAGGGACGGGAATGAGATGGGAGACAGGAGCAGACCGGAAGAGAGGAAGTCAGGGGAACACAGAGGATGGGAGAGATAGAGACAAGAAAGACAGTCAAGGAGAGAAGGAGAAAGATGGGGACAGAGATGGGGGAACAGATGGGGAGATGGGAGCAGAAAGAGGGGGAGATGGGGACAGAAGGGAGGAGAGGGAGCTGTGGGGCGGAGACAGGGTGGACAAAGGGTAGGCATAAGGGAGTAGTGGAACAGAATAGAGACAGGACAAGAATTTAAAAAAAAAAAAAAAAAAAAACCCTTGCCGTCAAGTCGATTCTGACTCATAGTGACCCTCTAGGACAGAGTAGAACTGCCCCGTAGAGTTTCCAAGGAGCGCCTGGCGGATTCGAACTGCCAACCCTTTGGTTAGCAGCCTGTAGCACTTAACCACTACGCCACCAGGGTTTCCAGGACAAGGACAGGGACCTAGATAAGAACGGTGGACAAAATCGGGGTCAGGGGATAGACTGGTTAGGCTCCGAGGGTCAGAGGATGGAGAGGGAAGGGGATGGGAGGCTTTGAGGGCTCATCCCAGCTGTGAGGCCTGACCCCCGCCACCGGCCCCTTGATACTCCAAATCCCAGGAGGACCTGCTGTGGGACACAGACAGCTTTGTCTCTGCCCCTGGACTTCAGGGCGTCCCCAGGAACACCACAGTGGAGGATCGGGGGTCCTGGCTAGGGACCATCACCCTCTCTAGCCAGGAAGTCCCTCCTGGAGTCTAACCTGTTCCTCCCGCCAGGTGCCCAAGCTGGAGGAGACGGAGGGCCTTGGGCAGCCTCAAACCAGATACCCCGCTCTGGCTGTCCTCTTGGGTGGTGAGGTGGCTGCCGTGGCATTGCAGCCCAGGAGGACGCCTGTGGCTCAGTGAGAAGTTTCAACCACTACAGGCTGTCTGCGATGGGCTGCTCAAGGGGGAGCACAAGCAGGGGGCACTAGTGTTTCCCTCACCCCAAGACCCACACCTTGTCCTGCACCCCTCAGCAGTCCTTGGGGCTGGAGGTGGAAATCAAGCACTGGCAGGGGACAGACATGTACTCGCACTAGACCCCACTCTAGCAATATTTAGAAATAAAGTTCTTATGTATAGCAGAGCTGTTTACTTTTGTGTCCAAATTTCTGAATAAGAACTATCCTTAATTAACTAATATCAAACACCAAATGGATTTGGAAATTAGCTTTTGCTGCCAATTTTATAGTATTTCTTAATAAACTCAATCTAAAACTACAAGGCAACACAATGTTTATACGTGAAACTTCTACTACAGCAATTTCAGGGACAACTAATGTCTGAATCACAAGTAGTATCAGGTTTCTTTATGCACGTCCTGTGCTGTCAAAAGCCAAAACGAGAAACAAAATTTCCATTCCCAAGCAACTGTGCAGTGAATATACATTCCCAGTTCAAACTACATTTTTAGCAGCATTTTTCAAACCTTGATGCAAGTGCAAAGGAAATTTCCATCTTTCAAAATCCACTTAACCTTCAATTGGAAATGATTAATCTGCAATTTAATATGTTTAAAGACAAATATTGAGAGAAGAATCTAATAGAATTCTTTAAATGTCTTCCAAGGGTTAAAAATGCTCAATTAAAATAATATGCTGTTAGTTTATGTTAATACCCACTACCGTCAACTCAATTCTGACTCATAGCAACTCCATAGGGTTTCCAAGGCTATAAATCTCTATGGAACCAGACTGCCACATCTTTCTCCTGCGGAGCCTCTGGTGGTTTTGAACCACCAACCTTTCAGTTAGCAGTCGATTGCTTTAACCACTGTACCACCAGGGCTCCTAGTTTATAATTCGGAAAAGGATAGTGATAATGGTTATACAATATGAAGAATGTAATCCATGTTACTGAATTTTCCATGTATAAGTTGAACTGGAGAATGTTTTGGTGTGTATTTCACCACAATAAGAAAGAAGAGACCAAAAAAAATCATATGTCCATGGATTGATATCAGATATCACCCAATACCTAACTGTGTGAAAAGATATTTTCAGAGATGAAATAGTAAAATCTCATTACAGATCAGCATTAACAGATGAACATTTGCAATACATTTTGATGATAAGGGAACACTATCTTTGAATCCCAATTGAATGTAATGTTATCCCATCCACAGTAGAATGTCAAATTTCTCATTAGTCAGCATGTTACAAAAACATACAATTTTTGTGACTATATTTTTAATTTTTTCAATAAAAATTTTGTGAAAATGTTTTCTCTTTCATTATATAAATACCTACATAATATCCTCAATTTTGCCTCTCGGCCTGCAAGGTTTAACATTTATTGTCTGGTTCTTTACAAAAAATAATTACCAACCTCTTCTCTAAACACTGCTTTTGCAGCATCCCACAGATTTTGATGTGTGTGTGTGTGTGTGTGTGTGTTCAGTTCAAAATACTAATTTCCCTTTTGATTTCTTTTTGACTCATAGTTTATTTGTTGTTATTGTTAGGTGCTGTCAGGTTGGTTCCCACTTATAGCAACCCTGTGTACAACAGAACGAAAACACTGCCCAGGCCTATGCCATCCTCACAATCATTGTTATGCTTGAGTCCCTTGTTGCCGCCACGTGTCCAATCCATCTCATTGAGGGTCTTCCTCTTTCTCGATGACCCTCTCCCAAGCATGGTGTCTGTTATGGATTGAATTGTGTCTCCCAAAAATGTATGTCCACTTGGCTAGGCCATGATTCCCAGTATTATGTGATTGTCCACCATTTTGTGATCTGATGTGATTTTCCTATGTGTTGTAAATCCTACCTCTATGATGTTAATGAGGTGGGATTAGCAGCAGTTATGTTAATCAGGCAGGACCCAATCTACAAGATTGGGTTGTGTCTTACATCAATCTCTTTTGA